TGTCGTCGAACCAGTCCTGGTGTTGGCGGGGAGCGCGACCGAGGACGGCGAGCGCCGTCGACTGGACCGTGTCTCGCAGTTGACACCAGCGGTTCTCCACGGAGGCGTTCTCGGCAGCGGCGGCGTCGGCAGCGATAGGAAGTTCGTCTAGCCTTTCAGCTAGCTCATTGCTGAAATGAAGATGGTGAGCGGGCAAAGACAACAAGGCAACATTCAGCTTACGTAGGGGTCGCTTACCTTGTGGTCTCCTGCGAGGCTGTAGGCGAATACGCATCTTCGAGATGACGAGGCGGTGGTCGGTCCACCCGTCAGCGCCCGCGATCGCCTTCGTCACCAGCACGTCCCGCTTATCTCGCCTCCGGACGAGGACATAGTCCAGCATGTGCCACTGGCGGGACCGATGATGCCTCCAGGTGGCCTTCCCTCGCTCCGGCAGATAGAAGAAGGTGTTCGTCAAGATGAGGCGGTGTTCTGCGCAGGTGCGGAGAAGCAGCAGACCATTGTCGTTTGAGCCGCGTAGACCGTGGGTACCTAGCACTCCTCTCCAGGCAGTATGGTCTGTGCCTATGCGGGCGTTGAAGTCGCCAAGGACAATCAACTTGTCCGCCTTCGACACAGTCGCCAAGAGGGCGTGCAGATCCTCGTAGAATTTGTCATTTGCGGCGGCGTCGGGGCAGCTCATCGGCGGAGCGTAGGCGCTGATGATGGTGGCGAATTTGCCCCACCCCCGCCGGAGAGGCAGACGGAGGCTCATCAGGCGATCGTTGATGCCCTGCGGCAAACAGGACAGTCGTCCCACGATGTCGTTCCGAATGGTTATGGCGACACCTGCGTCCCGTCGCTCTGCCCTGGGTCGACCGCTCCAGAAGAAGGTGTAGCCGGCACCCACCTCCTCCAGTTGGCCTTGTTCGGAGAATCGGGTCTCGCTGAGTGCGGCGAGGTCCACCTTATATCGCGCCAGCTCTCGTTCCATTAGCGCCGTCCTCCGTTCCGGTCGGTTGCTCCTCGGATTGTCTAAAAGGGAACGAACATTCCAGGCTGCCAGAGTGAGCGGGCTCACCCTGCCAGTCTGGTGACAACGAGTGGGGCGACGGGAAGGAGATGGAGAAGAAGGTGACGAAGGAGAAGAATAGGCAAAAGAATAGGCAGATGAAGAGGAAGAAGAGGTAGGGTGAGGAGAATGATTATGGTTGTTGTTGTAATTAGTATTGTTGATGTTTCGATTTTGAGTGTTTCGACCATGCTTAGACGTCTGCGGCCCTGGCTAGCCTGGAGACGGCGTGGTACCCAGCAATGTTTAGGCAACCTTTTCTAAGCCCTTCCCCTCGTGGGGGCTGGCAGTGCCATCCCTGAATAGGGCTGCCATGTGCCGATGTGGCACGGCCGAACTCCACTATGGGACCACGACTTCGGGTTGTAGTGGAGAGCAACTCGAATTCGCCGTAAGCCGCGGTCTCCGACAGCGTAGGTGGGCGCGTCAAGGCGATGTCGATGTGGAGATCCATCCCGTCACCGGCTGTCCAGCGGCGTGCAGAGACGAACCACGTCACGACGGTGCCGACGCAAGGTTCCATCCGACCTTCCATCCAGCGGAATCCGCAAACCCTGTGCACACGGCACAGCGCACAGGGCTCCCTCACCTGGTTTAGCACGCCCGGTCGAGACGGTTGCCCGGGGTGTGGCCGCTGAGCAGAGTCCAGCTACGTGGAGCCACAGGTGAGAGTTGAGTGCCAGAAAGTGGATGCTAGGCGCAGTCTCACCTGCAAGCAAGTGAGCGACCACCACGACCATTACGTGAACCCACCGCTGACACCCCTACACCGCACATGCCACATAAATATATTTTAAAAGGGCCAATGATGGCGTTCTGCGCTGGCCTGTCCTGTATATGTTGATAGTAAAGAGTATCAAACGGCAAACCTCGTAAATAGGCTAAGACGCCATTTGTTCGGCTACTATGTGCCATGGCCACGCAGACTTACTTTCGCCGCCCCACGCACGTCGGACCATCTGGCTTGTTACCCGTGTAATCAGTCATCATGCACCTTAGGCTCTGTCTCCCTCCCCCCCAAGAAATCTAATGCCCTGACAATCACGCAGCTAGACATGCACTTATGCTGGTGTGGACATGCACGGCCGCGTGAGCAACACACCGCGATTGACGCTCACCCGAATGCGAGACACGGTCCAGTCGACGGCGCTCGCCGTCCTCGGTCGCGCTCCCCGCCAACACCAGGACTGGTTCGACGACAACGACGCCGCCATCAGAAATCTGCGTGCTTAGACGAACCGCCTACACAAAGCCTACGTAGATCACCCCACTGATGCCACCAAAGCTGCCGTCTACCGCAGTCGCCGCCAACTTCAGCAACGACTGCGCGAGATGCAGGACGCCTGGACTGCTCGCAAAGCTGAGGAGATCCAAGGATACGCGGACCACAACGAATGGAAGAACTTCTTCTCTGCGATCAAAGCTGTCTACGGTCCACCGACAAAGGGCACTGCTCCTCTCCTCAGCGCCGACGGCAACACTCTCCTGACTGAGAAGACGCAAATCCTACAGCGATGGTCCGAGCATTTCCGAGGCGTCCTCAACCGCCCCTCCGTCATCTCCGACGCCGCCATCGAGCGTTTACCGCAAGTGGAGACCAACGTGGACCTCGACCTCCCGCCATCTCTCCAGGAGACCATCAGGGTCATGCAGCAGCTCTCCAGCGAGAAAGCACCCGGATCGGACGCAATCACTGCTGAGGTCTACAAGCACGGATGTCCCCAACTGATGGATCACCTGACTGCGCTCTTCCAAGAGATGTGGCGTCAAGGTGAAGTCCCGCAAGATTTCAAAGACGCAACCATCGTGCATCTCTACAAGCGCAAAGGGAATCGCCAAGTCTGCGACAATCACCGCGGCATCTTCTTGCTGAACATCGCCGGGAAGATCTTCGCCCGCATCCTTCTCAACCGCCTCAATAACCATCTGAAACAGGGCCTTCTGCCGGAAAGCCAATGCGGCTTCCGTCGTCATCGTGGGACCACGGATATGATCTTCGCCGCCCGTCAACTTCAGGAGAAGTGTCAGGTCTGGTCATTAACACGCAGAAGACGGTGGTGATGCACCAGCCGCCACCCCACTCAGTCACAACCCCCAACGCGCCGCCGCAAATCAGCGTGAACGGAACCCAACTGCAAGTGGTGGAGAACTTCCCGTACCTGGGCAGTACTGTCTCCCGCAACACCAAGATCGACAACAAAGTCGCCAACAGGATCTCGAAAGCCAGTCAAGCCTTCGGTCGCCTCCAAAGCACAGTTTGGAATCGCCACGGTCTTCAGCTGAGCACGAAGCTGAAGATGTACAAGGCCGTCATCCTGCCGACACTACTGTATGGAGCGGAGACTTGGACGGTGTACGCAAAGCAGACACGTCGTCTGAACCACTTCCACCTCAGTTGTCTTCGTCGCATCCTGAGGCTGAAGTAGCAGGATTGAATCCCCGACACTGAGGTGCTAGAACGGACGGGAATCCTCAGCATTTACGCCATACTGAGGCAAATTCATCTGCGCTGGAGCGGCCACCTGGTGCGCATGGACGACGAGCGACTACCCAAACGACTCTTCTACGGAGACGTCGCGACGGATTCTCGCCGTCAAGGAGGCCAGATTCGCAGTTACAAGGATACCCTGAAGTCCTCCCTGAAATGCCTGCAAATCAACCCCACCAACTGGGAGGAGCTCGCACTCGATCGACCGACCTGGAGGAGGGCAGTGAAGACAGGCGCTGTGATCTACGTAGGCAACCGCATCGCTGCCGCCAAAGCCAAACGTGAAGCCCGCAAATCACATCCTCGCCCAGTGCGCAACGCCGCCGCCCGCTTCCAACGTGTCCTCGATGTCAACGAACATTCCGGGCTCGAATCGGACTTGTTGGGCATCTTCGGATTAACTGCGCCTCTCGAACGGCACCAACCATCGTCCCCCCGCCCGCATCTTCCTCCTCCTCTCCGCAGCCTACTAACTCTGACAATTATTCTGGCCCATCACTTCCATCCTCCTCCTCCTCCTTCTCGTTCACTGCTCCTACGGCGGCCTCTCAGGCGACTGTCCCGCGCGCAACAACCGACACTACCACCACCACCTCCCCCGACTCCAGGGATGAGGATCAGGACTACACCTGCCCTCACTGCGACCGTACCTTCACTTCATACACCGGCCTTGTCGGTCACTTGCGAATCCATCGCACAGAGACTGGCGAACCAGTGCGCGAAGCACCAACCTACACCCACCGCACTCGCCTCCACTGCCCACACTGCCCTCGCACCTTCAGACATCTCATGGGCCTTTTTGGCCACATGCGGATCAACGAGAGCGGCCTTGACCGCACTCCCGACACACCCACCACATCCAACACATCCACCGTGCACACCCCCACCCTCGCTCAATCCGTCCGCGTCACCATCACCACCACCACCGCCTCCTGTGTAGCTGACACTGACACCGCCGACTTCTCATGCTCACATTGTCCACGCACATTCACCTCACGCATCGACCTGGTCGGTCACTTGCGAATCCATCGCACTGCCTGGTGCACCCACCTATACCCACCATGCTCGTCTCAACTGCCCACACTGCCCTCGCACTTTCAGGCATCGCATGGGTCTCTTCGGTCACATGCGCCTCCACGACGACCTGCGGTAGACAACCGCCGGCCACACCACACATTCACTCACTCCCTACCTCCTCCACCACCACCACCACCATCACCCCACCAGAAATCAATACTCACACACCTCATGCACCCAACTGCCACCGCCCACGCAAGTGGGAAGTCCGCATCTCGACTCGGTCCCCATGCGGCTTCGGCTGCACGGGTGACTTGAGTCCGAGACTATCCCGACACGTCAAGCGTCGTGGATAGGAAGGTTGATGATTGACGCCCGCTCTCGGTTCACACAGTTCGTCGCGTTGTGTGTGTGTTGTGTGGAGTGGCGGACTGGTGTGCTGGGGACAGGCTGAAACAGCACCTTCCACGGCACTCTCACGCAAGTGAGTGACACGCCGTCTACCCCCGTTGTGTGAAATCCTGGTGTTGTGTGCATGGGGAGCCAGGTCGTGCCGTGGCGCGCGCAGTCATGGTCAGTCGACCATGACAGCCACCGCGCCTATTCCCCACTCCAGTCTGCTGACCGGCTCGGACAGCGAATGGGGTGTGGGAGTGGGAAGGGAGAGTGAGGTCGACGACTCAGCGCACTTTCTCCTCACTATAAACAATCTGACACGCTTGAAGCTATCACGGTGCGTTAAAAGCCGTGGCTTGGAAGGTTGCCAACTGACGGGGTAACTTGGACCTCCTCCTTGACCGGAGGCGGTCTAAGAGTCAGGCTGCAATGGCTCCTTTTTAATGTGGCCTTTATGGCACTCCCATCACAGTGTGGGATCCGAGCCAGGCGTTGGCGGCACGCCCAGGTGCGGCTTCGGCCGTGCCAGCCTCCAAATCTCTGTTTGATTGGTTGAAATCCTGGTCATTTGTTGTGCGGACCAGGGGGTGTGGTGGAACGCCAAGGTGAGGATCAGTCCGAGCCATCCACCTGCGGCCTCCCTCGTCTCCGGTCTTCTTGACTCTGTCTTGACACCGGCCTCGGGCGAGGGAGGAGGAGAGAGTGTAGGTAGATGCTACGCAAGTCTACCGGCACTATAAACCCCTGTGTAAGTCACCGTCCCTGCTTCCATTGCTGCTGCAACTGTGGGGCACACGGTGAACATCATTGAAACCGATGGTCGAACTGTCATTTGGCATGTATAGTGTGTTTTCCATCACGTGCAGATGGCGTTTTCATCATCAAAGTGCAGTTATATGCTATCCCCGTCGGCCGCGGCGATAGCTGGAGCCCCCGACTGTTCCGCGCCGTGACTGTTTCCCTTCATGGACGTCCGTAAATCCAAAACGCTCGATCACTAAGCAAGAGATGTCAGCCGTTGTCCACCGTCTTCAGTGCAACCGTGGGATGTTGGGGAAACCGACCGATGGCTGCAAACGCGGATGCACGAGCATAAGTTGGCCGTGTGAAGGTCGGACTCAAAACTGCAGGTAGTAACCCATGTCGCCCAAATGGGACACATCTTCAACGTTGACGCCGTTGAAAATGTGGGCCGAGGAGATGATCATACGGCAAGGCAGGCACAAGAAGCCTGGATGTCTACCGACTGTTTTGCCAACAGCCACAATCAATTTGCCTCCCCTATCTGGTTTTACGGACATTCTTGACGGGAGACAGTCACGGCGCGAGACAAGCAGACCCGTCAACTAACTTCGTGGCCGACGAGGGCGGAGGCGATTCAGGTCATGGTGACATGCGGATCAGATGCAGCCACACAGTCACCATTGCCGGGCCAGGCATCAAACAAAGTGCGCCATATAGGATGAGCTGTGTGCATGACTCCTCAGACTCTGAAAATGGGTAGAAGAAACAAGTACTCTAAACGTCAGACCTCCAATACACCCCTCCCGGGGAATGCTTCCTTTACTTTTGATAGTTTCGTGTCTTTTGGTCATGCCAAACTTCCTGGCCCCATAATTTTTTCGAATAACCCATTCGCAGAAGGCTTCACCATAATGGATTTAAGTTTAGGTTACGCAAATAAACTTGCTTTATCACCTCATACAGATAGAATCTCTGCCAAGGCCGCGCAGATGTCTGGGTTCATATCGCATACTTTTTTCCCTTCCGGAGATGAAGCAAAGAATTTATCAAATGTCTGTTCTTCCTGTCCCGGAATACTGCTATCCTTTCGTTGGTCTAACGAACGTCTGTAACCGTAATAAAATCGAAAATCTTTAGGGAATTTTCACCCGAAAACTGCTCTCTCAAGTCGCATCCGATACTTCTTATACTCAGAGATGCCAGCTGGCGAACATTAAGTTTTTGTGGAATAGAAGACTCGAACCTGGCCTTTGCTTCATTTTCCGTATTAAGTCTAAGTCTAATCTTCCACTCATTGACACTCTGCCTCCGCGAGATCGGTCTTATGCCACGCAAAACTCCTCCATGGTGATTCCGCCGCCTCCTTGCACTGCAACTCATCGTCACATCATTTTTGCTCTCAAATTTGCGTTCCTTTGGAATTACCTTCCACCAGAAATTAGGTAATCGCCTAGGTTGTCGGTATTAAAATCGAAATTAAGTAAACACCTTACACCGGAAAGTATACAGGTACTTTTAACCGTCTCATTCCAGAACAATCAGCCTCTTGACTTTAAGAAGGGGCCTTCTGCGATTTTGTGATCGATCAAGTGGAAACCTTCACTTATATCTTTCTAACCCCCTGTTTTTAATTGGCTACGAAATCCACTGTTATCACTGTGCCCCCAAATCTGCTATTTTCGCGGTTCTGGACGTGGTCTGTCGACGCTCATGGCGGAACCCTCTGTATTCGCAGTCTACTAGTAGTTTGGTCATATCTCCCTTGCCCCCTCCTCGGCTGGGCTAGGAGCGGACTGTAACCAATCGCGTCTGGGTTCCTCTCGTCTAGCTATCTAGACGTGAACATCATCATCCGGTGTATGAATTCTGCCCTGACGATGTCCTTTTATAATCCGTTATACACTGCCAAACGCAGGCCGGTCCTGTCCGCATTTTTATCCTTTCATGAGAGACAGTTTTTCCACCTTTAAGGTCAGTTATAACATTTTGTTTATTCTATAATGGAGTTATTTCACTGCTTGGTCATCATTTTAACAGACTAATTCAATAACTATGCATTGCATATTGTACAGATTCTGTCTACCTCTTCTAAAATTAATATGAAAATTTATTTTTACTTCCTATCACAGGACCCCGAAAGGTCTTTAACGTAATTACTTATTTATGCTGTTTTACAGCCTTGCTTGGTGCAAAGTAAGCTCTCTACACATGATTATCCCATGCTAAATTTGTATTATGTATAACGGACAAGAGAGCGTGTAGCTACTGAGCGATTATAGTGTATGCTCAGTGCGCCACAACTTCAGGCCAAATCTCAAGTTGTTAGAAGTGGGACGCCAGCTGGGTAGACGATTTTAATCTGTACAGATGGATAAAGGAAAGTTGGCAAGCGGACGAGGGTGCGTCCGGCGCCGCGCAAAGCGGCATCCGCGAAAGCGACGAGCTGTGAGTCGCCGAAAGTCGTCGCTGCAAAAGTATCGTGGCAGACTGCTTACGCCAGTGGCCTGGACTGTGTCCGCCTGTGGTAGACCAATCAGCGGGAGCAGTTGCGTTGATTGGCTCCGAGCCCACGCGAGGGTAATGCCAAACCTCGCATGATGCAGACAGTTAAGTGCAACGAGACAAATTGATGCCGGGCAGACGTGCGTGCCGAAGAAAGCTGTCGCTAGGGCGTAGGTGCAGGCGCTAACGAGAGGCGCGACGTTGCCATTATAGCTGTCCACTACAAGCGTGAGTTTCCAAATAATGGATATGCGCATTTTTGGTGGTCTGTTTCATGACTTTTCAGGAAAATAATGTCAGTCTGACTGGTCTCTAAATCGTCGCATGTGCACGACTACCACTTTTGCGAATTGATGTTATATTGGCTCTTTCAGTCCGTGGGATGACCCTCAGCACCAAACGACTATTTGCCCATAGCGGATGAAGGCTGTAGCAGTTAAGCGGTATAAGTGAGTGCTCAGTGCACTAAAACTTCAGGCCAGTTGGAAATAATATTTATTCTGCACGGGCTGACAATGGAACACTGGCGGCCGGACGAGTATGCGTTCGGCGCCGCGTAAGCGGCATCCGCCAGAGCGACTTGTCGTGTGTCGCCCCAAGGTGCCGCCGCAAAAGTGTCCTGGCAGATTGTTTACACTGGTGGTTTACTCTGCGCGCCTGTGTAACCAATCAGCGAGCGAAGCTACCGCTACCGGAGAAACAGTTTCCGGTTGGATACCAGTGTCGCAACACTCCGTTACTGATGCTAGTATTATTGCAGTTAGTTACCCATACTGTAAGCGTTGGTAGAGTAGCATTGGCAGCCGTGGTGGCGGTGGTAGTAGTAGTACTAATAGTAGGATTATTAGTAGTATTCGCCGTATCAGTGGTGGTAGACGGGGGAAAAAGTTTTCTTCAGTGTTGCGACACTGTATTCCCGCCAGTGGTAGTAGTATTAGTAGTAACAGCGGTAGTGGTAGTAGTAGTAGTAGTAGTAGTAGTAGTAGTAGTAGTAGTCCGCCCGTAAGACAGGCTGGTGGGGGAATAGACAATTCTAAGTGTTGCGACACTGTATTCCCGCCCAGTTTCCCTTCTAACGCTGATGCGAACATATCTCCAATCTAGTCCAATTTAGCAAACACAAGATTGTCGCATACAAACGTTTAGCCGGATTCATTGTCAACAAGCACTATAGTCTGTGTTGTGTGTATCATTCCAGACGGTTACTGGAATTACTGCCAAGGACTCCTTTAGAACGGTCTCTTCGTCATTGTCCACAACATTATGACTCTTAACCTCGGGTGTTTATTAGGTTCTTTGTCGTCTAGGTATAATAGAGTGAGATGCTCTCAGTCATAATCGTGGACTGTGTAGTCACGGGATTGTCTTCAGCTCTTGACAATATGGTTCCCTTTCTAGCAGCAACGGCAAAATGCCCGCGCTTGTACGATCGATCGGCTTTCCTTTCAGCTCTAGGAAACGAATGACGGACATTTATCTACATGTGGTCATCTCCACAGATCTTATAAGGGCACGGGGCATAGGAGGCATCGTGATTTGCTTTCGTGTTGTTTGAGACGCACGCATTCTTTTCCAAACCATTCGACAAACTTTGCGTCACACTTATTGTCAGGCGCATTATTTCTTCGAAAATTCAGTGCGTATATACCAAACCTGGTTCAGGCAATATCTGCGCGATCTTCAATGAAGGCGGCGGGATGTTCGATTTGTGTTTCTTTGACCTAGTGTATTATATCTCGAACAGTGATAAATATGTACTTATATAAGTACACATTTTTAACAGTTCGAGATTCTTGGGTCAGTTGTAATATTACAACTGACTCAAGAATCGCACTTGGAATGAGGTCAAGGACATGGTTTAACGAGGGCAAGGCTGCTAGGCAGGTAAATAACATAACAATGTATTTTCCATCAATAACTTATCGCCGATAGGTGCTCAAAGTGACGTATTAGGTTATAGATTACTGAAGTGAACTGTATGCGTTATTCGGACAAAGAGCATACTAAAGTGCCGAACAAGTGTAGGACTGTTCAGAAGAATGCGAAAAATAAGTGATGTGCCGGTTAGGTAGGGCTAATAAGGCAGGCGATATCAATAGACGGCATTTTGCTAAAAATGTAAATGTCTTTAAATGCTATTGCTTAAACGAATAGCAGGGAGTAGGAATACGAAAATGCTATCATAAGCTACTCAATGAAGTGGCCCACAACGCGTCTGATTTTAACTTATAAATGACGTCCCGGGTTCCCTCCGTCAATGAATAACACTGACCAGTCGTTTCGTATGTCTTAGTCACTCCTGCGTCTGGGCAGCCCCTTCTTCTGTTGAGCATTTGGGACCGATTGCACTATTCTCAGCAAATCCAATAAGCCTGGGCTTCAAATGTTCTTTGTTACTGCCTTTCCCTTTTATGGATTTTTTTAAAAACTTCAATGCTTTATTTTCTAACAACCGCGGAATTCAGCCAAGGCCTTTAAAGACACCAATATTTCCACTCTTTTTGCATAATTTCACTGATGTTACGGATAATCATAGCGCGAGCTGTTTAAATCAGTGATTAACTTAAATATTTTGACGCAGATGCCTGAAAATTTGGGTGGTAATAATGACCATGTCCCTTCAGCAACCTGAATCACTTCTTGTTTGGGCCAACTCAGGGTCTCTTGTTTAAATAGCCTGCGAGAGACACGCAGGCGGTCAATTAATCTGCGCCCCTGCCGTTCGCAATGGCGCTTCGTGCCCAGTTTGAGGGGCACAACGACATCGGTGTTTTCACCCGTCTAACAAATACATACTGTCTTGTTTCTATCGGTGGTTCTGAGGGATACTACAGGTAAATATATCTATACGGTTAACTCGCGAAGTGTCTTCGAGGCCGAGTTAGCCGACAGCATCCCGGTCATCCACGCTAGCATTGCCGGAATTCGTACTGTAGGGTGCCTGACCGCAGGTAAGGATGTTTAAGCAGATGTTTGTCCTTTGTAGTTTTCTGCCAGTTCTGTTCCGACTGTACGGTGATTTTAGAAGATATAGTTTCAAAGTTTTTGTGGTTTTTCTACTCAAGACGGTTAGTTTTGTAACCGTTTTATTTGACGCAATCGAAAGTGGCTGCCATGGCCGTGCACTTAGTTCTCAGAGAAGTCGAAAACCTCGGTATTCCCATAGAAATGTTAGAAGTCGCATGTAATGAAGTCACCGGTGAGTAAGACGTTCTAGCCTAGGTCTAGGAGGGCGTCACGTTTCTTCAAGCACTCGTGCTGTGACGCCCTTTTACAATTGTTATTGGACGATGACCGTAAAGAAAGGAACGAGTAGTTTATCGGGTCTCATTTACAACCATCTAGATCGCAGTAATGCCGTTCGATTCGGTCGTTGAATTCTCAACGCAGATGCCTTTATTTGCCGAACTTTCAAAACGCTATAGCTACGCACACTACCCCTGCTGAGAGTCCAGACTGCCTAACGAGGACCCAGAAAAGCATAGACCTCATTTTGGTGTTCCGTAAAAGTGAGTCACCAATGATACACACGCTTCTATTGTCCTACTGATATGAGGACGGCACGATTTTAGTAATTTTCTACAACAGGTTAACGCTATCAATATCCATTTGAGATGTACTGTAGCTAATTCCGTCGTTTGCGTTTTTCGCACGTTGTAATGGTTTTGTTTAGGTAAGTCGTTCGTTGCCGACCCCATCAGACCCGTAACAGGACTCATGTGACCTCTCAGAGACCGATGAACTGTGAGCTAAGGACCTAGATTGTGGGGTGTGTGTACTTTTTAAAGGCGCCTTTTGTCAGACATTACATCGACGCTTCAGTCACTCACCACGGCCCGGCGTTTATGCCTTCTCCCATCCGGTGCACAGTCTATATATTTGATGTCTCCCCATGTTTATTGATCGAGTAACTCATAGTCTACTTGACCAAAGTGCCACCCGTTAAGGTACCTGTCAACGATTACTTAGTGGTAGAGTACTTTATCGTGTGATTAGCTAAAGTCCCACTGGCGATTCCGAAATTACAACTTGGTGCTAGTTACTTAGGCAAGCAAAACTGCTCTACTGCCTTCCGTAGAACACGTTGCCTTGATAACCTCTTTCTGTTTGGTAAGACTATATCTTTTCGCCGCGTAGGAAATTCAAAAGGCCTCTTGATTCCCCACACTGCTACCGATCAGGAGCTGACGCACCTGACAAACAGTTTACCGGAGAAAGTTAATGTGCGCCGGATAGAGGAGCGGTTATCAGCTCTGGGCAACACCATAGTGTGTAATGACTACGTCGCCCTTATTCACCCAGAACTGGATAAAGTAAGTCCTATCAGACAGTAGATGCTTAAATTACATTATCATAATTGTCCATAATGGAAACTTCGAAATCTGTAGGAAACGGAAGAACTTGTGAGCGATGTACTTGGTGTTGAGGTCTTCAGGAGCGTCATAGCTGGACAGGCCTTAGTGGGGACTTACGCCTGTCTCACTAACCAAGGTGGACTTGTTCACCCGCAAACCAGCATTCAGGAGTTGGATCAGCTAAGCAGTCTTCTCCAATTGCCCCTTACTGCGGGGACTGTCAACAGGGGCAGCGCCTTGATTGGCAGTGGCCTCGTAGTCAACGATTGGTCGGCTTTTTGCGGTCTTGACACCACAAGCACAGAAATTCAGGTACGTTCACACGGCTTGCCACCTTAGGCGTAGCTGCGCACGACAATTGGATAATTCTGGCGATTTTGGAGTTGTCTAATGTCTGCTCGTTTCTTTTCAGGTAATCGAGTCCATCTTCCAACTCCATGACCAAAACACCAAACAGGCATCAGCTCCAATCCGTGATGCTATACTCGAGAGGTAGGTTTCTCGACCCGGTTGTTCTCTTAAGAAAAACCATTTTCGTTGCCTAAGCTATTCCTTTCTATATTTGCAGCCTGGGATGAGAACTCACTGACCCTGCGACTAGATAACTTGAGCTGTAACGCTTCTGTAAATAAATTTTGTTTTAAAACCAGCCTCTCTTTACATCCCTGGCGTAAGCAGTCAGATATTGCTTGTGACCACTCATGTCATGCGATACATTCGCTACCATCTAAGGCTGAATGTCGTGGACGAACTAAAGTGATATTTCGGGGCCTTAGATGTCAGCTTAATCGTAATGCAAACGCTTGTTCTTCTGGCAGAACCAGTTTTGTAGTATTCTGCGACGGATATTTAACTAAAAACTGTTTCTGACATCATCTATCTGACGGGCACTATCAGCACAATCTTGTTGATATCTCTTGCAGTAGGTTATGCATCGATAGAGGTTGACCAACAGACCTGACATATTTGTCCTTACCATCCGACGTACCAGCCGGTACATCGGTTCCATGCGGACAAACACAAACACGATCGTGTCATATAAAGAGCCGCGGTCGAATATGGACAAAATATACGTTTTACAGATACAGCTCGACTTCGCTCCTTTAGGGTCGTCTTTACGGCCGACACACCGTTAGAGTTGTAAGCGTGAACTGTTACCATATAGCATCTTTCACGTCTAAGAATTTAACGTAAGGGGTCGGAGAGGACGCATGTGGGCTGAAGCTGAGTTCAAAAGCAGGAATTGGCTTACGTCGGCGACCGTGACCTGGGTTCGTGCCCCACTGACACCGTCACACGAAGGCGCCAAGGTGGCGAGCTCTGCGAGTACAATAGAGTGGCGCGTTTAGGTGGATATTTGAGCAATACACCTCTGTGCTTCCGGGAACTTGACGCCAGAGTCCCAAAGCGACGTTGATCATCTTAAGTTCTCGATTGGCGACATTTGAGTGTACAAAAGTCGGAGACTTGCGGCCTGTGTGTGCGACGAAAATACTTCCTCGTCGGGTTATGTGCGACAAGATTTCACCAAGACCAGCTGTTACACAAAAGACCGGAAGCCGGCGTTATCGGACTTGACTGTGAATCGGATTGACAGCGCTGGGAGAACGGGATCTGCATACTGATGTCTGCCCGTGCTGACGGGGATGCTCACACGTCCTCGGCTTGCGGTATTTTCGACAGATGCAATCACGCTTCATAAGGTGAGTGATACTTTGTTATAATTTGCCTTTTGCAACAGGAAGTACGAACCATTTTTCCCAACAAGTGCGATGAATGGAGGCATTGCGTACCTCTGGTGCCACAACCGAAGTTTATATTACTAGTAGAGTTACCCATTCCACCTCTCGAACGTAGTGGTAGGTGTTTCATAGCACGAGTATGGCTGGTCTGGCTACGATCAACGTATCAGCGTGTTTGTGCGTGATATGTGCCAGTTCGATGACGTTATCACTACGAGACTAGGACGGGCTTCTAACTGTTATTGAGTTTAGTAAAGAAAGCCCTCCTTTAGAACGCCCTCAGGACATTCCTCGCTTGTTTGCCACGCCGCGGAGCACGACAGGTTTGTGTTGTCTAAAATGGCCGTAATTTGAGCCGTTGTGTGTTGACCAGCGGTCAAGCTCCGGCCTAAACCAATTCCCGCAGCATGAGTGCTGGAATTGCTGATGGGCACACAAGCAGCATCACCACAGTACGCTTCACTGGACCGGATTCAATTGCCTGTCTTTGACAGTAGGCTAAACAGTCAGCCTCTGTTGTTGTGTGAGTTGTGTAATTATAAACGTCAGCATGCCCATGATCTTCACCAACTACCAGTAGCATTGTCATCTGAGTCAGTATCCACGTAATCGCGTCATACAGCCGCATCTAATTCACTAGTTCCAGCTGTCGTCATTGTATGCCCCTTATGATCAACACCTCCAAGCTAACCAATCGTGGTCCCAAGAGGCTATAAGAGAGTGATCGTTGACTGAGAAGACCCAGCACAGTGTACCATACGCAACCGGTTTCGCAGGATCAGTCTTGGTGACGGCCCACAATTAGGATGACGATTTTTTGTGTCACCTTTGAACGTCGTCATCCAGATGACACGGGTAACTGGCGCCGACAGGTCTTTTAAGGTAGGAAAGCCATGAGTCCGCCTCCTACGCAGTTGCGCGACTTTCGTGTTGGGAACTACATATTGACGCTGAATTCATCAGTAATTGCGTTGCATTCGCCAAGTTATAATCTCTGTCATATTCAGCTGCTGGCGCAATTCCACTGTTACAAGCTGGAGCAGGATAGACTAGATATTTTTTGTGCCAATGCCAATTTCCTTCCTCTCACTGACTCGGTTTTGAGGCGTAAAAGCCAAAACGAAGATAGGTGTTCGGTGTGAATGGATATTTGTCGATGTTTCGGTCTAATCACTATTCACACGGAATCCTAAATTTCTCGGCATATGCTAATCGGAAAAAACATGTACTACCGCTTTGGTTGGGTTTGTTATGGGGAGCTGCTCGTATTGGGTGCCGGCTGGTGTAATATACGGTGACATAGTGGTATTCACTACCAGCCAAGGCTGCACGTCGTGGGCGAATGAAATAGTTGTTTATCGCCATCAGCCGCAAATTGGCCATGTCTAGCCTCTTGCTGTGCCTTATAATACTTTCTGCGCTATCTAGCTATCTATCTACTATTTATCTAGCGGCCAGGTGATCGCGACCCGCGCCCGTTTGTATGTGACGATATGCCATCCCGACAGAAATTTAACGTGGGAATAACGAAATATCAGTGGTTTTCCAGAGGCTGAAATGTCTGTAAGCTGCATAGGCACGAACAGTAAAATTTAGCTGATGGTTTTTGGAGGCGAGGTGTGGGTCGTGTGTCGGTGGAGACTGGCCATGAAACTTGTCCTTACCATCCGAAGTGTACGAACTGGCACCTCGGTTCCATGCGGACATATATGAACGCAATGGTGACCGCTAGAAGGCCACTGTCGAATATGCACAGAATGTAAGGCTTGACCTCATTCCTTGTGAGTCGGATACGCAGCCTCCAGACATTGAAAGAGTTTTTGACCTGAGCTTACTGTTGCAGAGTTGCCTTCTGCATAGTTAATTTGGTATGAGGGGTCAGAAAGAACGTATGTGGGTTGCAACTGGGTTCTAAAACACGGAGTGTGACGTAGGTTCGTGCATGACGGACCTCTTCGCTTCACGAAGGGTCGTGATAAATGAGACTACACGGTACTGGATGATGTTCTATGAGCGACTTGTTCAAATGTTCGCCGAATGTCTGACAGTCTTTCGTCCTAATTGATGGCATTGACGAGAGTGAGGCCGCCCTGGTCTCCAGATGACAATGCCGAAAAGGAATTCGGACGTGTACTGAGACTAGAGGACCCTTTGGCCTCTGGTTTAATCACCGTTCGTGCAGAGTATTTCGAGTCTCGCGTATGCTTGTCCCCTGACGACATCTGTAGCATTAATGACGTACCATTTTCTGATTTAGTTAGTCTAACTGGTTGTTTCATTCTTATATTAAGGCTTCAAGCCCCCTAGAGGGGGAATATTCCCTTGAACATTAATGCGACTCCGTGCATTAGGGGAGTTGAAATATCACCAACCTTGTCAATGTAACACAGAGAATTGGTGGTTGCAATTAATCCAATTTAGCTCTATTCGCCCTTCGTTTTGGGCTTCGGAAACATGGCTCCGATTAGGGTCCACAGTGTGTGACAGTAGTTCGCATCAGAGGTCACTGGCGGGCAGTTGCTTGTGGTGCATGCTGTACTTGGTGTCCTGGACATCAGCCTATCTTGTTTTGTTGTTGTATTTGTTGTGTGATGCTAGGCGTTAGCATGCCAATGGTCTGCATTAACGGTCGCAGGACATTGGTAGGTTGTTGGCCACATCCTTATTGCAGTTGTGTGACCTTGCCGAGCGGTTTGAATTCAGACCCTGACATCTCAGTCGTAAGTGTGAAAGCGCGTGGGCTTAGTTGGTTGGCGGACCTACCGGCTTTAGACTGGGTAGTCGGCGGATGTCGATGCGATTCGTACTTGTGTTCCCGTGGAAGTGCCTGCCGTCACTTTGTGAATAGAATATCCTGCATGATCTTTTGCGGAATCTCCTGGGTGGACAACGCAGACCACTTGAGTAAAGTTCGTCCACGAGATGCCGTCATGTGCGCGAGAAATGGAGGCTGTTCTATCTGTCTTGTCAGTCCGAATTGGTAGTTGTGTGGATTACCGGCACCATGAAGAAGTTGTTGACCGGAGAAGTGTGATTTACTTTCATTCTTATTAGTGGCATTTACGAGAGTGAGGCCGACCTGGTCTCCGAATGACAATGCCGAAAAATAAGTCGGACGCGTACTGAGACTAGAGGACCATCTGGCCTCTGGTTTAATCACCGTTCGTGCAGATTATGTCGAGTCTCGAGTATGCTTGTCCCCTGACAACAAATGTAGCATTAATGGCGCACAAGTTTCTGTCCTATGTTAAGGCTTCAAGCCTTATAGAGGGGGGGGGAATATTCCTTGAACATTAATGCGATTCGATGCATTAGGGGAATTGGGATGTCACCATTGTTGTCCATGTAGCATAGAGATTTGGTGGTTTCAAGTAGTCCAATTTAGTTGTATTTGCTTCTGGTTTTGGTTTAAGACTACCCGCTGACACCCAGCCTGAAAGGGGGACAGCGGTTCAAAGCGACGGAATGGGAGCACGATTTTGACTCCCAGGCATGTTTGGTGCAATTGCAAGCACTGATTTGTGCTGTGTGCGTAGGTGTCGTTGTCGATGTCTCCCGGCACAGCCTTCTGTTGTGCGTGCATGGATGAGGCTTATGCAGGGTTAATGTGATCGTCAGGATGGCCGTAGTTGAGGGCGTTGCTTCTGGGTGATGGTCATGTGCCGAGTTTTTACAGCGCGCCTGTATGGCGAGACCGGATTGTGCTGGCTTTTGCGATAGTTTTTCTGCAGTTTTGTGTGCATGAGGCCTGACTCGAAACCCTTGGTTCTCATAACAGACCAAGTGGTCTCACGCTGGCCGATATTAGTAAGACGCCAGCCGAGAATCTATGTGAT